TGATCAAGACTAAAGAAAAAAGAGGCACAGTGACTTGGTGTTTTTCAAAAATGGGAACAGAATTCCTCGAACACTTTCAAGGAAATCACTGCTTCTCGCCAGCTGAATCATCATCGGGTGTTGGCATATCTCATAGGCTAATCAAGATGAACGAAACACATAATTTACCATTCTTCTAACCAGGTATTTTTAACTGGAAGCAAAACCTCCAAAAATATTTTGCAAAAAACCACCAAGTGACAGTAAAATAATGAATACATTCCACTGCTGACCAAAGAAAATGAAAGATAAATAAACAGAAGTTACAGCCATTTTTTTCATATTCAGGTTTTCCAACATTTCAGCCAACTCCCATAAAATGCTAATATAGCACAATTGGTATTAAGAGAATTAAAATAGAACAGAGAAAGTGTTACTAATAGATGAAGAGACCCTGAACTGTCATAAGGCAGAACGCAGCAGTTCTTCGAGTGGGCTACTGCTGTACTTTGGACTATGGTGAAGACTACAATGACTGGCAACTGATAAATGTTTGTTTTTTTTCCTAAAGGGCTTTGTGTTTGGACTTCATTATTAACTTCAGCAATACTATCAGAATGAATTGCCTACTGCAATCTAAAAAACAAGTGTATCAGCTGCAATCACACAGCAATAATGGAGCACTCTTCAGCTGTTAGCCCAGAGCTTCTTTCGGTGTTTAGGAAAATAGAAGTGACTTAGAGCATGCCAAGTAGGTAGGCTGACGCGCCGGTCTTGCGAATGAAGTAAACCAGGGGATAAGATACCTTCTAGTAAAAATCTGGCAAGCTGCTTACTTTCTGCTCATACAACGCAGGAATTTTGGTACTTCTACTCAGAAGCAGCAGAGTAGTAACTGCACAGATCTATTAGGGAACTACCTAAACCAGTTTCAAGCCAAGCAGTGGCATGTGGAACTTCACACGCCTCCTCTACAAAGGAAAACCTCTCACCACTGCCAGGCTTCTGAGGAGGTGGATTTTCAGCACTTTATTTTTCAAGTCAGGTCTATGCATACTACTGTAGGCATTCACTATAAAAGTGGCAAAAGCAAGAATAGTGAGGTTCAAGTCAAAAAGTGGGACTCAATTGAGAAAACCAAAACCGGGAGGTCGCGCTTCTCACCAGCTGCAGGAAACACAGAGCCAGAAGCTGCTGATGCTGAAATGTGCCCAAGAAACAGGCATACTGAAAAGCACTGTCAATTTGAATCATTAACTTACAATCACTTACCTGTGCAAATGCACACATAATGGAAACGTAGCTGAAATACCAAGTCAGTAACTCCTCCACAGAGTCAAGTAAGTCCTCTGTGAGCCATCTTCCAGGGAACAGGGAACAGTAAGCCATGAACTTCAGAAACTGACTTAAAATGTGATCTTTAACCTCAGAAAAAAAGCACTCGGCCTGCTCTTCCTGGCTAAGCAGAACTGGTTAGCTCTTCCTAAACTAATACGTACACGGTAGATACAGACATCTTCATGCCTCGGACACCACACCCTATGGAGCTACAACAAGATCTAAACCAGTGACTTCCTACAGACACCTGTGACGCTTCTGCAGAACAGTGTTGCCTAGTCAATTTTCAAATTTGTTCTGTTACTCTGGTGAGTGTCCACTTCCACAACAAAGCAACAGAAAAAGAAAGAACTAACACTGTCCTTTAACAGAACAGCATGTGTACCCTTGCACTGCCAGTCCAACTACACAGGAAGTATGAGGATCGCCAAGACAGCACAGTGACTTGAAATGCCCTCTACAACACCACCACTCCCCCCCCCCCAGTCAGCAAAAGCCACATAAACTAACATCTGGAAGCAGGGACAAATATTTGAGGGAACTTGAATGCAGACACTAGAGACAAATCAGTTATGGCAGGGAATCACTGATGAAATAGAAAGGCAATTAAAAAACCCTGCTCCTGTGCCTGCTGTCCCTCCTTTTTTTTTTTTTAACAAAATTTCTGAAATATGTTGTGCCTATTAAGTGTCTGTTTTTCTAAAGAAGGTGGAGAATTATTTGATATGTTAAAATATAATAATGAAGATTTTATTTTCCCAAATTAGCCTACTCCAATGTGTTTCTTCCTTAAGATACTTAGGTTTTGCATCTAATTAAAAAACTTCAATATGACTGTGTCCTTACGCAAAAAATTCTGTTCTCACTACTAAAAAAGATGCTTCTCATGTCAAATAGACTTTTGATACCTCTTTGAGCATTCAGATATGCTGTAACATTAAATCACTGTAAATAATTTCAGGATGAACATCAGTGCCAATGTGAATGGCGTCACTGGACACCACTCATTCCTATGGTTCAGAGCTATCCCACAGTAACACTCAGGAAATGGAGAAGAGATGATGAACAAAGCACTATCTAGGAAGTCTTTAATATTTTACTCAATAAAGTAAAACACTAAACTCAAGAATAGAGCATAAAGATTGCTTGCTAGGAAGAACACGTGCTCTTTTGGAGCACAAATCGCCAATTTTTAGGATTACAGTCACTGTTGTCTCTTGTCTGTAAAAGCAAAGATTAAATGCTAATCTACAATGAGGGAAAGGAAAATTAATCTTCTATCTTAATAGTTCATGTAATCAAATCCTATTTTATGAATTGTCTAAGTTCTAAAATGCCCCAGCTTTATAAACCGTTCCACATACTGCAAAAAAAATAAAAATAAAAAAAAATTGAAAACAACCTTTTGTCTGTTCTCTCAATGTTGGTATCACATCAAACAATGCTACTGCTGTGCATTTGGTAACTTCAGTGTGAGTTAGAGACAAAATCTTCCAAAGCGGACTGACTGAAATCTGTTTTTCCAAGGGCTGGCAACTGAAACCTGAAACTAACAACCAAAAACTGGATCACCCTATGTTTTGTGATGACAGAAACAATGGTTCTCACAGAAGAAAAACACAAAGTAGACTACTGTCAATTTCTATTTAAGAGAAAATACTGTTACTTTGCCCTTTTTTTCTTATATATATTTTTCCATTTACTGTGTGATGTTTAAATAAGTTATTTTTACCAAGAAGTATGTGTATATATATTGTATTGTGTGGATTTGCATTATTTGTGCCATGGTAGTGTTTACACACCAATATCATGCGCTATGTTATTATGTCAGGCACTCTAAGAATTCATGATCACCTGTTTTGCATTTGTCTGACAAGTATCATCACAACTTTTATTATAGAACAGACTATGGGTCATTACCATATTGACTGCTCCTTCATATTAAGTACCTGCAGACTAATGAAAGAACCAAATCCTCAGGAGATTCAGCTATTTTTAAAAGACCAAACATTCAAGACTACATTATTTACTCATATTTATTTTGTAACTGTATTTTTCTAAAACATATTAAAATAGAAAAGATGTTTATCTGATTCATCATACAAAGAAAATACCAACATAGTAATAAAATACTGAAAATATATGAAAGCACCAAAACATTATTCATATTGGCAAAGACTATTTTTTGCAATTTTACAGTAAAGTGCTATTCAATCCACTCAAATTAAGGAATCAGTATTTTAATAGCATGGTATTATTATCTTAAGGTTACAAATTACTTCCGTTACCTTTCTCAACAAGACAAACAACCCATTTTCATGGAAGCAAAGCATTTGAGTTGCATGCCTGTGAAAATAACTTAAATAACAGCTTCATAGTAAGCAGTGAACAATGTGAGTTGCCAACTCATCAAGAAAACAAGATACTAAGAAGCAAACTGAACAGAAATGAGATTAGCAAAAAACCTAAGAAAATGTAGATGTGGTAAAACATTGTATAAATTAAGAAAGGACAGAAGACTGTATACCAAACAGGCTCTGTAGAGTTGCCTTTTACATGGTAATGTTTTTAGTAATCATATTGGGGCTTTATTAGTTAAGCTGTTTATTAATGCATTTTCTTAAATGGACCTTTTCTATTTCCTAGAAATGATACTACATATACAACACACTGGCGAGATACTGTAAGCAGAAAGACAGAAGCAGAGTTATGACCTTTATTTTTCCTCAATAATCTCTTCTCATCTATCGAAGTCAGCAGACAAAACTAAATGATCTGTTACAAAGCCAATTTGTAGCAAAAATTAATTCTAGTAAAGACACTATCTTAAATTTTTAGACCTCATCAAGTGAAAATTTTAAAAGTATGAAAGATACCATTAGTCTCCTTTTAAGTGTTTATCATTTTAATATACATATTTACAGCAACGAGTACAAAGAATCCTTGTTAGTGTACGTTCTCACTCACTAGCTTCATACACCATTTCCACACAGTTTCAGAAATGGCTGATATAATGCTTTTCTGTTGCCTTCAATGATATTTAGTCTTCCTGACTTGACTTGCTTTTTTCATAAATTCACCTGTAGTCTAACCATATTGCACATCTCGGAAGAAGTTCTTACACTGACTATTTATTAGCTTTTTTATGAACCAGTTATGGGTCATCTGTTATTTCGTAGGAAATATCTACAATAATTTTGAATTCAGAAAAAGCACAAAAATAAGGAATTTAACCAATGAAAGCAATGAGCCTGAATTACCAAAATAATTACTAACAACAAATATCTTCCTTTATATGTGTACATACATAGTTTATATAAAAAATCTGCCCGTACTACGTAATTTCTGTCAAATTTCCTGAATGAACCAGTTAACCTTTAGCATACACTGTTGACTTCTTGTACCTTCTATGAGAGTAATTCAGAATGTAAGAATGAACATGACGAAAAGAAATTAAATACTGTATTTAAAGCAGTTGAACAGAAGAAAAAAAACTAAACAGCTTTAAATTATGTTGTATTTCATTTCCTCCTTCCAGTTCAGTAGTATTTATTCAGTTGTACAGTGAAAATAGGTCCTAGCTCTAACATCTTCCTCATGCCCTGTTCCAAGTGTCAACCTTCAGTAATTTTTTTTGCTGGTCATTCATTTCTTTTCTTTTTTCCCAGCAAACTGTATCATTGTTCATTGTTGTGGGCTCATCCCCTCATTTTGGCAGTTCCAGAATCCGAGTGCAGCACTGCAATCTCTTCCACTCCAACCAACCATGACAGGCAGCACATCCCGTGGCACAGCAATTCTTTTTAGCTTCTCTGGGTATACGCCAGGTAGAAGCAGAAGGCAACAACAGTAACTGACAGTAATGATAAAGCAACTGACAATTGCTGGAACCAGAGGCAGCGATCAATCTGCTCTTGAAGTCTTTTATTAATTTGCAGTAAACGAGTTAGCTGAAAATAGAAATAGTATAATTAAATTAGAATTACTGCACATGAAAGTATTTGTCAATTTAGAGCTATTTAGCCAACAACTATAAGCACAGAAGAAAGAAAAAAAAAAAAACAACTTCTCTTGGTGAACTATTTGTGCTATCTTCCCTATCACTACATACTTCAGGAATCTGTTCTGCTAAGGAGCTTCAAATCTTAAGTTATGGATAGCCCATATTGCCTAAATCAAGCAGGTGTGACATCGTCACATCAGGAAGCAAAAGATACCACTGAGGCTCATTGATACCCCAGATCTGTAATAAACACAAGAGGAATGAGCAAATTGCATTGGAAGTAGTATTTTATTAAACCATTACCATTCAACAAAATCATTAAATCACTATAAGTTCTTTAGTTGCTTTCAATTGCTGAGCTTTTAAAATAGTATGATTTATGAAGTACCAAAGAGGTTTAGTACAAATTCTTTTTATCTCTACCATATTTTATAATTTTATTCAATATTCAGCACAAAGGAATACATAATTACCTGTATATGTAAATCTTCGTTGTTTTTTGCCGGAACATTAAATGCGTTCTCTTTTAACGTCAAAGAAGAAGGCTTACTACTTTCTACAACATGACACCTGAGCCTGTGAAAGGGGAAAAAAAATACACACCAAAACCCATCAATCTAATGTAACATTGTGTAATTTACAGTAAACAGTCTATCTAACGGTTATGATATGTGCTTTATCATCTGTTCTGGTTGATTAATTTTCTAAATGACTCTAGAAACATAGTCTAAAAAGATTTCCTCAGTCCACCAATTATGTTTTTACAGCTTTTGATATAGAAAGCAAGATCAAAATTATCTGCATGCCCAGTTAAAATAGATCGTCATCGTTTTAATTTCATAGCACAGGGTGCACTGGATTATTCCGTCAAATACTTACTACCAGAGATGCAACAACTTACTGAGCAGCAAACAAAATCTAAAGGTTTTCTTTGCATTTCAAACCTTAGGAACAACATTTTTCATAGAGTCCACCTCCTCCACATTTGAAAATGCAGGAACAGAATTTCAAGCCACAAGTGAAGGTAGTGGGATCCTACGCAATTTATAAAACACAGCAGAAGCTCCTCTGGTAACATGCAAGTCAATTAGTGTGGGAATGAATGTATTTGCTAAAGAAATGGTTAGTTTGAGGCTGCGGCATTTTTATATTTTAAGGGAAGAGAAACGATAAAACTTCTCCAGCATGACAAAACACAAAAAGGGACAAATTACATGTAATAAAATCTAAGTAGATTCCTCAGATAAAGGACTTGTACATAAAATATTAAAGAGACAGTAATTACACTCTCCACTACTTTTAATCTAGGTTTAATAAAAAGTGAAGGTCAGTTTTGTATTCATCAGTAACACACACACAGGGTATGCTTAGCAGGTGATACATTTAATGTCATCAGATAACCTCTCCCTATTGTTTCAGGGTCTCTCAAAAAAACTTTGCAACATTCATGCAAGGAAGCTCAAGGTCACTCACATGATGTAGATTTTGTTTAACAGGGAAGTAAGGGATGAAACAAAGACAGAGCAAGACTTAGGCTTCGAGTCTTAAAAACACTTTTTCCGTGTTAATTTTGGCCATGGAGGGGGTAAAGACAGCTCAAAAAACCCCCAAACCAAAATGCCAAAAAACCCAGGAACAATCTAAAGTAAAAGTACAGTCAAATTACTTTTTTTTAAAGACAAAACAGCATCTCAGTATTATGGCTCCAAGGCTTCTAGATAAAAGAACAGCAATGAACTTTTCCTAGAAACGTACAGCAATGCAGCTAGGTGTGAACAGAAGAGAGCGAAAAGTAACAGGTATATTTGAGTGTGCGGGGAAACGTATTTTCCTAATGGTATTTTTTCACCATTAAATATGGAAAACACACAGGGGAACATGTGATAGGTTTTACAAAGTTTTCTACAAAATTATTATTTTTCCCTAGCAGAACAGGAATATTTTTTAATATTGTCTAGAAAACAGTTTTGCATTTAATATTCCTTCTTTCCTTGTTTCTTTGTAAAAAACTCAAGTGGCACATTCTTATTAAAAAAAAAAAATCTACTGTCCCTGTGTATTGTCACATCCGTTCACATTTTTTCAACTTAACTTTTAATCAGCACAAGATCAACAACAAAAAGAAGAGCATGTGCAGAATACTGTAACATCTTACACATTAAAAACACCTCTAACCAGTTAAAAGAGAGCAGAAGCCTCAGCAATATACTGCAGTGAGTAAGCATGCAACTGGGTCTCGAGAAGCCTTCACTGATTATGATACGCAAATGTTATAAATGAGCTAAATGGTAATGGATAAAACAAACCCCTGTCAACAGAAAACCATACGCTCACCTATGTTCCATCACTTTGGTCCTAGGGACTTCTTTCCAAAACTGAGTCAGTTCTGGCACACCTGCGCCAGAAGACTGGTCCATTTCTGCTGCCATTATAAGGAAACGATCCTGCAGAGAAGCTGCAAAACCTGCCCTCAAAGAAAAAAAACAAACAACACAAACAGAAGTATGCTTAGACAAAATGACAATATTTCAAAGTGTATAGAAGCATTTTTGAATGAAAGTGTTTCAAAATGAGAGCTTATCGCAGGACATCAGACACTGACTCATCAGAACTAAAAATAATGAAATAATTCTTTTAAGTCCAACAATTTCGATCAGTTTTCCCAAAATTCTACAGTTTCATTTCAACAGAATCAGTTTCATCTGAACGATTAAAGGACAACCCAGAATTTTGTAAAGAATACACCCTCCAGCAAATTCACCTGTCCTTGCAACAATTTCGGAAACTGATTTACCACAGATAAACACACACTGTAATAGAGCACAAGTGAGACAGCTGCCACTGTGACTTTCTTGTTTTAAAGACAAGAAACAGGACAGGCTGCAGACAACAGCTGCTTATGCCTAAGTGGAATAGTAAATCAGCACAAGCAGTTACTCAAATGCTGTCTGACATCCACGCTTTTTTTACAAATCGTAACATTCTCATACAACAGTCAAGCAGACGTGGGTGTCAAGTCAGTCTCACACCCCAGCAAGCACATATAAAGGTTAGTACCTAGAACATCATCCTGTGTAATAAAACTTGTCCAGACTTAAACTCTATTGTAAGATTTTACTTACCACCATGAAGAGAGACTATTATATCCAGTGATGTGCCAGGTTCACAGCTGCTGTTACTGGGTTTAACTCTGTATTTTTCAGGAGCAGTTGTTCTCACCTATAAACAACACCAAGAAAGCATATAGCAAACACATGCACAAATTATGATTTGTTTCATAACCTCCCTCGTTCTGTAATAACCAAAATCCCCAAAAGCTTAAATATTAAAACATAGTAACACACAGAGTCTTTACAATGCTTCATTTTGTATGAGTAATCAGACACTGGTATTTCACATTTTCTTTTCTCTCAAAAACTTTTATCCTTCTTTTCTAGCATATGCTATTTTTCTCTCTTACATACATATTTAAAAACAGCCAAAAATATCAAATGGACTATCTATTAAATTTTTTAATATGAAAGTATGGAAACTTTGGTCATCTGTGTGTGCAGAGAACACAAAAGATGTGGTGGAAAGTCAAATCAAGACACAAGTCAACTCGGCATTTCTGAAGCAAACATAATTGCATTCATTCCTTTGACAGTGACATTTGCAGATGGAGCTGCGCCATTCTGGAGCATTACTAACTTGTTCCCAGCCAAGATTTAAAAGAAGAAAAATTCTGAAAAGATGACTTTTCAATACTCAAGCCCTTCTTTTTCAGGAAATACTAGACCCTCACTAAAGAATTAACCATCACCATAGCTCTTTTCCAGTCCATGTGCCAAAGATTTGTATTACTGATTATCCCCTTTGGGGTGCTATGTAATAGGCACAAATGGAGCCAGAAGATTTCTTTTATCTGCTTCAAACATCACAACAGAATAAAAAAATTAGACTGAAAAGTAGGTTTAATAGTATTTCTTCCTCCTTACCCAAAACAAGAAACAGTTACGCATTTAGTAAAGTAAACCAGGCCATACACAAAATCCTTACCTTAAAAGCCACTATGTTTTTAGTGACATTTGTGAGAACTATCAAACATTTTTTCTCTCCGGTTTCTTTGGATCCAAAATATAGCTCTTCTGCTGGGCTAATAAGAAATTTGAAAAGGATTAGTTTCTTCAAGTTATCTTTACAACATATCATAGAAAAAAAACTTGACCACACCTACAGGAAAATAAAATACTTTCAACCTGCAGCTACAGTCACTATAAACAGCTTTTCATCAAAAAAAGCTGTGAAAAGAAATCGCAGAAATTTTACAGCGAAGCTCAGGGTTGACTCATGACCACAAGTGGACCTAGCTCCCTCAGCTGATTACTGCCCTTGGCTTCTTCCATCTGGAAGAGCGAAAAAATAGCCAACACATTTATACAGTCACTTCAGCCACTGCATCTTAGAGCAGTACGTTAAGGGAAAGCATCATTAATTTTAGTTTATGCTGATATTAAAGAGTATAAGGTGTCATGGACATGGAATAATTCCTACCTCATACCTCTACCCTTGTAATGAGTACAGCGCACAGCTAAGAGGAGCGGGCAGATACCTGCGAGTGGCAATCATTTCAACCACTACAGCTAATTCACTTGTACTTATGAGTCAGTCTTCATATACTTCTGGTGACACATGCATAAATAAAGTTATCACTTGTTTTAGTACTCTTGTGCAATTAGGACAGTCATGCATGAAATCTTTTAAAACCACTCATTTTGGAATAATCATTCAAATGAACACTACTAGGCAAAAAGCAAGGCATGCTCATATACTACAAGTTGAGAGGAAACTCAAGTAACATGTGGAAAAACTGTTTTCTTTTAATATATCACATTAGGAGTACGTAAAGAACTGCCATACTATGCAGTACTACAGAACTGCATATTCTTTTGACAGACTTTTTTGAAAACTGTTACTTTCTTTCTTTCCCCTTTTTAGAATGCCAATTTCATGTTAATTTGACCTCCTCCTGAAAAGACTTCCTTTTACAGTACTAATCCTTCTTTCTTCTCTCACTTCAAACAAACCAGTGCATTAGCCGAGAAGAAAAAAAATCCTTGGTGCTGTGGGGCAAGCCTGAATGTCCATGCTAGAAGTGGAGTCCAATGGCAACTACATACATGTGGGGGTACCCGTGTTTTACAATGCATTATAGTCTACATCAGAATTTTTATTTCTTTTTGGTAGGAAAGAAGGACATGTACTGAGTGAGGCAGAAAGCAAAGAAACTGATGGGTTTAAATCAGATTAACAGGGTAACCGTATTCGCTTTTTTTTTTCCCCCATTCCCAAATTCTCAACTTAAGTAACCAACAAGAGTAGGGAAATGAAGGAGTGTAGTTACAAAGTGTTTTGGTTATCTTCATATCATACTATTGCAGCTGTGTGTTACAGCAATTGCAGGATGAACCATAAATGAGACAGGAAAGCATTGACTAGCATCAGAACAAGCCACAAAAAGAGCTCAAGGAAAGAGCCTGATCTTTCTTTTCTACCACCATGGCTACTAAACCAAAAAAATGGGGCTTGACGACTACCCCTGTATGCCTGTTGCTTGTGAAATCAGCCCATTCTGTAGCATTGGGAGGAAGTGGTATGTAGTTGTTGAGAAGGTGGGGTGTTTTATTAAATGAACACCCAAGCTCTTTAATTTCCACAGAAATGGTACTTTCTTGACTCTGATGTGTGTGGGATAACCATTTCAGCTCGTACTAGACATTCTCACCTCAAAATACACCATAACATGAGCTAGTCTTCTGCAAGATGGTGCAAGTGAACTGCTGCTTTCATTTCATTTATAAATTCATTTATTGAGGAAAGTCAATAAAGAGCATTCTTTCACAGTAAGGTATGCAAGGCAAATGTAATAGCAGTCTAAACCAGGCCAACAGATGACTAGTGAGTATGACTACAGTATGAGAAACAGAAGAGCACACATACCCAGTTCTGTTCACACACCAGAGCCAACAAGTACTGAGCAGCTGTAGGTAAGAAATACCCCTGCAGGGGGGCTAAGGAGGCCTCACACTTCTGCAGCAGCAGTTGAGAGGCACAAAAGGCTGCCAGTTCTTGGTGATTTCATGGTGTCAAAGCTGCTGTGGCTCAGCTTCCCAGTCAGGGTGTAGGCTGCTTCCTTCACTGGGCAATACTGGTATCAGCAAGGATACGAGCCTATTATACTGACAGAGCTTAGAGTCTCCAACATAAGTGCCCACGACTAGTTATAAATGGCATTATATATTATCAGTTCAATAAATTTCAGTTCAGTGTCCTGAGAAAGATTCCAAGGAAATGAAAACTAGTTTTAGCTTCTACAGAGGTAGAGTATTAATAAAGAGCAACAACTGCACATAGAATTTGCAGAGTTTACTTAGAGTCTACTTAAAAACAAACAACAAACAGCAAGGACAACGGAGACACCAGTATTTTATTTTTCATGACAGCACGACTACAAGTATTGCCATCTCTATACTTGACTAAGTTCACTCTTTCATGTAGTTTACATGAACTCCAACTTCTACTCCAAAAGTAGAACTTGAAATATTTCAAGAGAAAATAAGGTACAGTTTGTGTGGGGGTTTTGGGTGGGTTTTCTTTTTGCATGGGTTTTTTTTGGTGGTTTGGTTCTGTCTTTGTTGGATTTGCATTTTGTTGGGGTTTTTTTTAAGTGGATGGAAAACACACAACTGATTTTGTAATAAGGACAGAAAATTTTAAGCAATCTTAAAATCACAATTCTGCAGTCTATGCCTTTGTCCTGCCATACAAGAAACTAAGTCTATACAGAGGAGGTTTTTGCACAAAGGACTATAAAGATAATTTTCATTTTGAAACCAGGAAAATTTGACACATACAAAATATTTTTTGATGCTAATGAGCATGTCGTTATTCAAATTCATTCCAAAACTAATTCAGTACAGCACTTACAAAATTAGCTAAGGAATTACCTATAAATTAGATATTTTCTTCATTCAGCTAATAGCAAACTGGAAGTGAAAATAAAAGTTAACATCTAAATCAATTTCTAAACAAGCACCTTAACCCCAAAGGCAGTGAAAAAAAAAGTGATACTGGCTATTTTTTGTTTGTTCTTAGTTTAATGATAAAAAGCAGATTAACTGCAAGATGTAAGCATCCTGGGTGACAAAATCTTCTGAGCAGGTACACCATTTATACAGAGCACTTCCCACACAAAATAAGCCGAACCCATTAAGTTTAATTGGTGCAAACTACTAGTGTAGACATTTATACCATCTTAAGTGAAAAGAATTCAAGAAAGATTGAACAGTGAAAGCTGTCTTAAAGGCACTGGTTTTCTTAAGCCAATGCTATCAGTGTCAAACCACTGCTCTCATTATAGATAAGCACAGGTTTAAGTACATCCAATGAGTTTCCTAATACAATTGAAACCATGAAATGCTTCTACAGTCCTATGAAATGTACACCTACTAATTAGTACAAAAAGCATGCCAACTGTGACACCAAAAGATTCACAAAAAACATATAAAACCAGAAAAATTCTTTGAGCCTTGTATAAACATCCTTTTAAGAACACTTTAACTTGTTTTCCTCTAAGAGTTTGAAAAAAATTTATTTTGAAAACTGACTAGTTCAGTAATTAAGTGTCCGAGGCACATTGTAAAATATAAAGAAAATTATTATTACCTGATATGTAATAAAGGTCCTTTAAAAGTGGTTAATGCTTTCTTTGCATTTTTTGGTTTGATCTCTGTTTTGTCAGTTTCCTCTGATTTGGTAATTTGTTCTATAGAGTTCATCTGAGTAAAAATGACAGTTACAATGATTAACTAGAAACCTGGGTTACACATGTTACAGAATCAAGCAGGTATTTCAAAGACTGAGGAAGCTTATTTCAACAATTTACATATTACAGACCAAGCTTAATATGTATTCTTTCCCTGATGCTGCTCCAAGTCCACCAAATGAAATGGATGAAACAAAACTTCTGCTCCTCGACATGTATTTTCCTGAAGCCCAAGCTGGTTATTTTTTGAAAACTTCAGACACATTAAGTTATAATACTTCAAATATTTAAGATTATTAAGCACTGATCTTATTCTTCCACTGCAAAACTTTTCAGTTAAAATAGACACCCCACTGCAACCCTGAACAGAAAACACAATAACAATTCCACGCTACTGGATTGCAGAGATGCCAGACATCTTCACTGCTTTTAGATGAAACTCTGAAGTCTCGGAGAACTTAAAAGAAATAATGCCGATTGAATTGGTGCATCCAAAACTGCGGGTATCAAGTTCTGAGGGTTTTCCTCTTACATTAAGGAAATACATGTCATCAGGCCTGGACATCGCTTTATAAAAAAATGAAAGAACTCTGGAATTCAGTGCGAAATGGGGCTGGGGGGGAAATACAGAAGACTGAAAGAATTAGTGACATCATTACTCAAGATCAGCTAGCTGAACAGTTTTCTTAGCCTTGATTTTATTTCATTTAAAATACAAAGAAAACATATTAAAGAATTCAGTTTATGTAAATATGAAGTATGGGAATGAAAGGAATACAAAATTTTATAGAATAGAAAACAGATTTTAAAAAGAAACCACACAGCAATTTTATTTTTAATAATTAGTTATATTAAAAGGTTAGTGTGTAAATACACTGCGCTACATAAATCTACTTAAAATTACCAGAGAAAAAATATTACTATAGCACATATTAAAGGTGGAGGCATCTACAGGACAGGCACTTACTAATCAAGTTCATCACTCATGTTCCCCCTACTCTGTGGAAAGAAATAGGCCCTTCTATGGGGTATGAGGAGTCACACATACATAAAGATGAATTCATAAGATGAATTCTTAGTGGCGACAAGTCTGCATATAAAGACTGGTACTGCAGTAAATAATGAAGACAATATCTCACAGGTTACTTGAAATCTGTTAGTTTGGATCCCAGCCTTATTAAAAAATATTTGAATATTTTTAGACAGTCAGGAAAAAATAATTAACTTGGAAATAAGAAATGCCAACCATTCTGGGATAAGGGAGTATTTCTGCAAAACACATTTTGAAAAAGAACGTAACATTGAAGTGGCAAACAATGGTGTACTTGCTGTGGAAGAAATACCAAGTAATATTCTCAAATACGTGAACAGAAGAATAGTGAGTTGAAGCAAAATAACCTACTTTTTACAGAAACAGTACCAACAATGAGATATGGTCTGAAATTTTAAATGTATGTTAAAGGTAAGGCCTTAAGCATGCCTTAAGATTAACTGATACAAGATAAGCATAAATATCAATCTTAGTTCATTGAAAAGATCGAGTAGCAGCTTGATTACACTGTGTAAGAGAAGATACCATAAACCAAATCATTTTAACAATGAAGTAAAAAAAAAAGAATACCTTAAGTATAAAACTGAACTCAGCCAAGCAAATAAAAAAACCCACAAAACCAAACACTGAGGCTATCAGGCATCAAAGCCAACTCGCATACTGAACAAGAATTCCCCATATACCTGAGAATCAGAGCCTGGAAAATGTGCTACAATCAAAACAAGCTACTGAGTTTAACGGTCAGGAAGTCACCACTGTTATGTAATGCTTCCTTTTGACCTTAAGGTCAGTGAAATTATCTTTTTTTTGAACAGCCAAGTTGCAAAGAACAGCCAGGCTACTTAAAGTAGTCAAATTATTCTGACAAAAAAAACTTAAAACGGTAAATGAAACTGGAAGTGTAATATTAAGGTATTCTACTCTGTTGAACAGCAGTTTTGCAATTCATATCCAAAATTAATTATGGCACTAAAGTTGTGAATTTCAGATTTTTCCTACTATTTTCAAGAGCAATATCCCCACTGACTATCACTGCATATTCCTAAATATCCTTTCATATAGGCTTGTGTAAAACAATGCCTTTATATTCCTGGATAAACACCACTGCAGGAAGATTACATTGTAAGACACCATTGACGGATTAGGGACACAATTTCTCCTGAGACTAAATGAAAACTTTACATGTTGAAATTTCATCAATAATTTAAGAAAACAAATTAACATCCAGTGAAGTATAAATATTTAACTGTTAATATTCTCATGTACATACTGATTTAAGCATCTGAGAAAACCAGATGTGTTTTAAGATCTACAACACTAGATATCCCAAGGTGAAAAGATAAACCAACTAGAAAGACATAATCATCGAAAACACAGAAACCTTTTAAATTTTACTGTGCACTCCACTATTCCAGACATCCACTAAATATTTGGTACACATTTTACTCATTCAGAAGCATGAAACTGGTCTTAACAGACTAAGAAGCAAGGTTGATACTGCAAGAATAATTTTCAGTTTTACTGTGTTCTTTTGTCACACCAGAGGGCAGAAGAAAAGAGTTTTAAAAAAATCAAAACAAAGTAAAGCCAGACAGGACAAAAATTATATGCCTCCTGTCCCACTTTGTAACCATTTAACTAGTCTTGGCTTGTGCTTGGCTCAAAGAGTTAGATACCTTTTTCTGATTAAGATTTTGTTGTTCTTCATTCAGCTCCCCAGTCTCCTTCGTGTCCGCATCTATCTCTTCTTTACTTTCATGCTCGTCTTCACTAGTAATGGGCCCATTTTCACATAAAGGAGTTTGAAAGTCATCATCAACCAATGGAGGATAACTGTACTTGAAAGAATCCTAGAACATAAGGAGATTTTTAAAGGACCAGTTTAGGAGGATAAGTGCCTTCTCTAGTATTTTTTTAATGGAAATACTATTAATTTTTTTTTGCACTTGACTTGTATATTTCATTTATTCATTTTAAGTCAGATCCCCATGCAGAAAGCTGACACTATCAATAGTTTTTATCATCATTAATAGATAAATAAATACAGCCACCCAATGAAGCCACTCAATTGTAACCACTGTTATTTACAGTCACATTAGAACTGCAGAATCTCTCTAGGAACAGCATCCAGAGTCTTAATGCTGAAGTTTTGTTGTTAGTTCTAGAAAATGGGGTTTAAAACTTGTGACAGCTATTTCTAAAGAATATTCCAAAAGTGATGAAAAACTTCAGTTCTTCCTTGCATTTTAGTTTCATAACAGCCACAGTTTAAAAAAAAAAACAAAACAAAACCCCAAACCACAAAACCACTCCAAACAATCCGTCAAGTTTAACCTAGTATGTGGACCTTTAATATATCCTGCAACTCAGACTTCAGTCTTTGGAATGCCAAATCAATTTTAAGACCACATTCAAGACACCTGCATAACGCAGAAGCAGCACACTTAAGTTCCCAATCCCACTACAGTAATGTTATCTTTTCTATTGGAAGACCAGTAAAAAGCAGTTGTGGCTAACCACAAATTCTCTTTAACATTCTCAAAATAGTTTTATTACAGCTAACGTTAGAAACAGTGTTTAAACAGGAACCTCTGTTCCTACTGCATTTTCAAACAGTTTTAAACCTCAAGTGAACTAATTTGTCAGGTTTTCCAGTGGAGGAAAAAAATAACATAGCTTTGACTCCTAAGAGGCAGGCTCAAGCCATGCCCACAGTTCCCAAACCATGCTACCAGCAGGGAGTTGAAGAAAGGTGTTTCAAGACACCTCTCCATGAGCAAGTATGTTTTCCCAAAAACAAAGAATAATGTGACATTAGGAAAAAAAAGAAAAAGACTTAGACAGGGCTATTCAAAGAAACCCCAAACAAAATGGCATACTGCCTGCTAGTCTATAATCAAGGCCTAAATCTCTCCTATTCTTCAGCCTGAAGCAAGTCACAGACCTTTAGGTGAATGAAACAGGTATCCACTGGCTCAAGCATTATCCTATTAAGGGCCTAAAGGACAAAGTTTTAAGTATCAGTAACAAACTAATTCACTATTAGAAGAAAAGACTCCAGACTGTTAGAAACATTACAGTAGGCTTGCAGAATATTGACATACTCCATTTGCAAAGACAAGGCAGAAACAGTCAGCTTACCCTTAGCCAAACTGATAAGCCTTTCCACTCCCTTCCAGCATATGATGAAGGGCATATGACAAAGTCACCTTAATAAAAAGGCATTAAATTTGCTGCACATTTCACTTGGCCACAGTCATTTACGATGCTGGATAGCTTCAGCTGAACAGAATCTCGTCACTGGGACAACTGAAAGCCCCACACTTCCCAATCACAGTCTGTAAGTTTCAGCGACAGGGGTTTATCTACCAATAGGTTGAAAACCTCAGACAAGTAAACAAGACAGATTTATGTAATGCTTGATACATCCATTCTATAGACTAATGGCTTTCTTTTGTAAGCAGATGTACAGACTTTACACTGTCTGGCAATTATGGTAGAGATATCTTAATGATGGTAGTGATATTTTCTAGTATTACATGTACACAGTGGCCATGAAATCACATGAAATCAAGGCTTAACTTCAGGCCACTGACCTACAAAAGGTACTTTAAAGAAAACAAGTTATGGGCTATCAGTTCAGATACCCAGGTGAAGAGCACCACATTATAGTTGCACAGATTGTTCAATATTGGCACCAGTGGAAGGAATCTTGGACAATTCATCCATGTAAAATCCATTTCCAATTGCCCAGGAAAACCAAGCAAATACAAACGAAACCCCTACTGTACATACACATCTTGCATCAATATGTACACACCGTATGTACATCAGTCTCGCACAAAATGTTAAGAGGCAACAAATCTCCCTGGCCATTTGGAAATACATATGTCGTAAGAACTGGACTGTTCCACCATCAATATCAACAGCCAGAAATGGCAGAATGTGGGATACAACAGATCAGGAATCCAGGAAGACACTGACTTAGTATATATTTACTACTAAGTGAAAGCAATTAGCAAGTGGCTTTTGAGCACCTAACCCTAATTTTCCAGACTGCCTATCATTAGCTTGCTCCTGGATCTCTTTTGGGCAATTCTCCAAGACAAACCTTCTAATAAAGAGAGGGACCTCTGTGCACTGTGGAAAAGAGCAACTCAAAGCCAGGTACATGGTGTGCAGCCCCTCTTGATTAGCAGTACAGCAATATTCACAGTCTACAGACACTGATGAGGATTTGAATGGAACTTAAGTTTATATTCCTGCAAAATCCAAGTCTGTTTTCCATGATTACTTTTAATGCTTTTAACACTTCGGAGACACCTTTGTTCACTAGTTGTCTAAAGTCAAGTAATCTTCCTCCTTTCTCAGCTAACAGAGTTGATTGAAGGATTTTCATGCTAAGGAAAGCCTCAGATTCATCCTTTGAGTGACCCTTGGCCAGAGTAAAAGCAAAACATACTTGGAGATAAATTGACTGAGATATTGAAGTTTGAAGGCTTCCAATAGACACACAGAACAGTTCTTTTGGTTAATCAAAGTTATCATTGACTCCAAGTCCAACATTATTAATTTTATTTTCAAAATGGATTCTTTTGTTAATGCCAAAAACTAGTCTAACTTTCTTTTTGGATACCTAGATTCCACTGCACCCATATTCTCTGTATCTCCCCAAAGTAACTAACTAGGCAAATGACCTGCTCCACTAGTCGTTCAGATTGGCAAGACCTGGCTCTTCCAAGATGGATCCTAGTAGGGGACAGCAGAAAGGATGAGAGTCTACTTATGGCTGCTGTATTGGAGTACAAAGTATGAACAGATAAAGCTGTGCTATTCACCTGCGTTATGCTAGTTGCAAACATGATGATCAGTTCCTAAACATGTGGAAATCGAAGACAACAAAGAATTGGAAGGAGGCAAAAAAAAACCCAAACATTGAGTGGAGAATGGAGGGAATTAATTTGTGCAAGACAGATACTGCCTCAAAACAACAGGCCTGACAACACTGATAATGGTGGATGTACTCTATCTAGTTGCCCCAAGAGGACTCCAAGGTTAATCACATCAAGAAAAGTTAAATTCTGAGAAAGGGTCAGGAAGTTGTCTGTCTTCCAGTCACTGAAAAACTCCTTGCTGTTAGAGATGCAAAATCCTGCTCTACTGTATGCACTGAAGAAATCTGAGGGAAGATTCAGAGCATGATTCTGGAGTCTGACTATTTGCTAACAACACTTCCAGAATAACAGTTCTGAGGCTGAGTTCAAAACACCCACCAAGTGGCTAAATACTAAAGAGACTCAGTAGTTAGACAAAGCATCTGCTGGTTCAAAACGTAGGGCTTTTAATATGTAGAGATCTAACTTCTTCTGAAATTGCCAAAACCCCTTGGAGTCTTTATCAAGGAAGCTTACTCCTGTGTGCTACTAGTTTATTTCTGTCACTGCAACTTACTACCACAGACAAAATGGTTTGGATAAGCTGCCTCTGTTATTCTGGAACTTGTTAACGCCCGTAGAAGATAGGCAACATAGAGCCAACTTGGTCAACTATTGCTAACTGGTGATGAGACCTTTCAGGACCAAGGCATGATAATGAGTAACTCTAACATTATGTGCTTACCCAGACACTTCAGGAGGTTATTAGCAAAGCCACAAGTTTGTTTTAAAGCTCTAATTAGGTATCAGGTAAGATGGGTCTAAAAAGCAGATGGGAGATACTCAGCTTTAGGAAGGAGGAAAAGAACTTTCCCCTCTATTGCAACAACATGATGACACCCTGGGAGCTAGGCCCAGAACCACTGCTATACTCCATTCAAATCTTACTGAAGCCATTTCATACATCATCACCCTTCCCTCAATGTCTACTCCTGAAGTTCAGGAATTTCAGATTTCTTTAAGACAATAAAGTTCTCATATGAGACGGGAGATTTTGGTCAGTGATTTTCCATGAAGAAAGAGGGTATCTTTTCTTCAAGAATCTTGTGCAAAGCACTTTCCAAAGGCTGTTACTTTCAGTCAAATAAAAATCAAAGTAACTTAGTCTTTTATGTTCCCAAAGTTTAACATTTTCTGGCAACCAGAACTCTACCTTGAGTTTATACACAAAGGAATATGGCCTCCCCTACTTTTGCCAAAGCAATTTTCCTTTTCTCCACATTGCCGTTACTGCCACAACTCCAAAAACACTTCAGAAAAAAAATGGAAAACAAGTAAATATAACTCTTCTACAATGGAGTTACTTCACTACCATAAATGGTCTAACAAAGATTTTAAAGAAAAACATCCTCTTTCTGAAAATTCTATTATAAAGATTATGCAAACTGATTTACCAGCTTTGTGAAAGTGAAACCTGTTGTACAAGATCTCTTTTTAGAGATTGCACTAGGACAGTCAATTCAGATTCTGTTAAAGTGATACCGGATTTTAGCATACTCTTTGAGCTCTAATACACTCTTAAAAAAGAATCTTCTACAGCCATTCTTAAAATGCAGCTCTAGAGACAAAGGAAAAATAATTGCAAATATGATTGCCTTTACTGAATCATAACTTTGGAGCAGCATGAAAACTGAGGGCCCTGAAGCCTATTTTCTGTTCACAGAACTTGGTTCATAAACCAACACAATCTTGAAATCATCAAGTTGGAGGAAAAAAAAAGTAGAAGGAAGAACGACATTTAAAATGGATTTTTTTTAAAGGTCTGAAAAACTAAGTGGTTTCCAATGACTTCAAAGTGGATGAATGACTCAAAAATAATTTCTGTACTTAGGACTGCCAGATATCAAATTATCATGAAGTTAACCTATTTTATATTACTGTGATTTACAAATTATTATTGGCAGAATGATTTCAAGAAATCTCACACCCATGAAGTGCCAGCTCTCAGCCCCACATGTCATTTATATAGGAATGTCTCAATCTATCACAAAAGGACCATGAAATGTTAATATACTTACAGTTCCACCCATGTGAGGTGGCAGATACTCTCCACTGATGTATTCCTGTACATCACTCTTGTTTGTGAACTTTAACATGCTTATTGCATCTGGGCCAAGCCAACCCTTCACAATTTTAAAAGCAGCTTTAAAAAAAGACACAAACAAAAGGTACACATAAGTTGTCAGGAAAGGGTTTTTTTGCAGTGTATTGGTAGACGTTATAGAACTCAAGTGAGCTATATCCTGCAAGATATGGCAGGACATGCTCTGAAAGTATCTATTATAACAGGGATAAACAGTGCAAGGAAAATTATTTACAGAGAAAATATTTTATGGATGCAGGTGAATGCAGATAGACCACAGACTTTCATGGAATGAGTATCTTTGATTTAATAAATGACAACTTTGCTGTCTTGGAATTCAGCCCAGGAAATACTGAGTGGGTAAAACCAAATTTGTTTCCAAATTTAAGTGAGGGAGGTTAGGAAAGATATGTATATACCCTTTCTAGTTGAAATGTTTTGCTGCTTTAAAGGACACTTTTTCAGATCTACAGAGTATTTTCAAACACCATACTTATTTCAGTAATGGTAAAACATGAATATGGAGAAAAATATAAAGCCAGCATAAAAATATGTATTCATACAGTAAAAATACAGGAACAACACATTAATCCTGTACATTATAATTAAAGATATTTAAGTACACACATCAAAACACCTGTAACGATATTAGCATCCAGTGTCAGGCATCTATCTTAAATTGTGTATTCTAGTTTTTGGTTGGTTATAAGAGTTCATCATTTCTTGATGATAGTATTCCCAAATCATGAACAGATTTAGCTTTGAAAGAACTACAGTTGGTAACATTCAAGGAATAGACTATATATCAAGGTCTCCCAGGCTTTAAAGATAACAGGATGAATACAGACTCCATTTAAAGCATGATCCAAAATACAATGCTAGAAGGAAAAACAAAAAGTATGCAACCTACAAATTGACAGATTTAAAGAGGCATGTTTAAAAAATGCCACCATTCAGCTGTATCTACACAGAACAGAAAAATGCTTCCTATTTATGCTAATAAGTTTGAATCATAGAAACATCATGGAAAAGACCTTTAAGATCATCCAGTGCAACTGTTAACCTAGCACTGCCAAGTCCCCCACTAAACCATGTCCCTAAGCACCATACCTACACATCTTTTAAATATCTCCAGGGTCTGTGACTCCACCTCCCTGGGCAGCCTGTTCCAGTGCTTGACCACTCTTTCAGTAAAGAAATGTTTCCTAATGTCCAACCTAAACCTCCCTTGGCTTAACCTGAGGCCGTTTCCTCCCGTCCTATTGCTTGTTACTTGGGAGAAGAGACCAACCCCCACCTCACTACAACCTCCTCTCAGGCAGCTGTAGAGAGCAATCACGTCTCCCCTCAGCCTCCTCTTCTCTAGGCTGAACCACCCCAGTTCCCTCAGCAGCTCCTCATCAGACCTGTTCTCCAGGCCCTTCATCAGCTTCGTTGCCCTTCTCTGGACACGCTCCAGCACCTCAGGGTCCTTCTTGTAGTGAGGGGCCCAAAACTGAACACAGTATTTGAGGTGCGGCCTCACCAGTGATGGGTACAGGGGCACGATCCCTTCCCTACAAGTTATCATAATCTAAGAAACCAAACAAAATCAAACAACTCACCGTTCATTATCCATGGCATTTCAAAGATCACTATCTTTGCTGAAAAGGCAAAAAGACACGGAAATAATCTGAATATCAAGTGTTACTTATTTCTCTGTTTAAGGCAAAGCACAGAAATTATGGTCATGTAAAAAGTGAATACTCATTTTTAGAAACCTCCATGTTCACTTTCCTGTAGAAGCACTTTTATACAAAGGTTTATATGTGTTAAAAACAAATTTCTATTATCATATAAAAACATGTAGCTGTTTGCTTGGAAAACAATTAACAGAATTCTAAGATATACACTGCTTATACACTTCTCTCGGATACTACTTTTCCAACATACTGTTACTAGTAAGTAATCTCCCCAAATAAGGCAGAGAAAGGTAAGATCTCAACCTGACCTAGAAAAGCAACTACTGAATGTAAAAAAGTTTATCAGTTATATTTTCAGCACCTCTTCTTCCCAAAGAAACAAACACCAAGTCTTTGTAAATCTGCATTTTTTTCTTCCCAAGCTTTTTTTTATTTTAGGAGAGAAGCCTAAAAAGTTAGTACTTTGACTCAGAAGTGTCCCAAAATTTCTCTTGAATACCAAAAAAACAAAACCATAACGCTGCACTTGCCTTTAAGTTTGATATTTGACCAAAGTTTGAACTTTGATCAGCAAGCTGAAATCTAATATTCAGTGCTTAAGCTGTTGCTGTACAGAATTTCAATATTCAGACACATTTCCACCTAAAATTTGTAACTCATTTAAGATGAGCTAACAAAAACTACTGAGAGTTCGCACTGCAAGTATGCAGGTTTTTCCAAGTGTGCACACAAACACCCCTTATTCCTGTTCAGAGTAAACACTTGTTCCCTAAAATTTACCATAGCCATTCATTCTTTGTCCCCTGCAGACTCCTAAAGGATACAAACTGCCATGCAATTTTGTAAAGCTTCTGCACAAGTAACAAAGAGCAAAGGAAAAAAACAGGCCAATTCAGTTCTACTAGATGCTTGTATCAATTTTTTAATGCACAAAAGCATGTCTTATATTATTATTTCATGAAGAGCCAGTGGATTTTTGATGAATGTAAAGTTTATTTACAACACAAAGTTGTGCTGACTTAAGAGCACAAAAATATTCTGAACCTGTAACATCCACATGTTCCATGTAGTTACCACAAAGCACATGCAAAAAGACTTAGCCTCCCTCATGATCTGTAATATTATGAAAACCTCTTATTATTACACAAGTCCACAGTGCTTAAGATTTAATACACAATTACTTACTGAGGAAGTTCGGGTAATAATCTGTAAAACAGTTGACAATGAACCGAACAAAATCCAAGTCCTAAAATGAAAGCACAGTAAACAATGTAAATCAAAACATTAAAAATCCAGGCTTAGTTAAATCAAGGCATTTATTGACTAGCACAAGATTTTTATATTGCAATTATCTGTTTTCAAATCTTACACATACTACATCATCCAAACTCAGTGCAATGCTTTTCACTTCACTAAACTGCTGCAGGATTGTGGTCAAACAGCTTTATTATCCAAGAAAGAACCTGACAGACCTATTATCAATGCAGTAAGTTACGTCTCAACTGCTGCAGAGTACTTACATGATTTAAGCTGTACGGGAAAGATACAGGAAAACCAAGCCTTTAGGACCAGAGAAGCTTGAAAGATTATCTTAAAGCCTTACAAGGGAGAACACTAAATATGCTGAAATTTCCCTTCAATAACTTATCTTGCATATTGTTCAATATGCTACTGCACTCAGGATCTTCCAGAGAAAAAAGGTAAGTTTTCCTTTTAAGATTATTTTGGGGTTTAGTATTAGTTTGTGGTACGCAGAGAAATTGTGGACACACGCAGCACTCAGAGCTCCTTGTATAGCACCCATTTTCAGTGTGCTTCCATCCAATAAGCAGCTGCACAGAAATAGCACAGCTAAGTCTGCATTGTAAAATCCAGGTATAATAAAAACTGACTATAACGTAAAGGGCAAAAAAGGGCATTTTATGAAACAGTTATAGATAATAAAGAGCTACTTCACCACAATAAGATACTTTGGTTAGGTGGGAAGCCTGCCATGAGTACTGTCTACATTCAGCCTGTACCCAGAGCTAAACAGTAACAGTCACTCCACCATCCAATGACCCCTCACCAGCCAGGAAGGGGAATCAGCAAAAATGAGAGCAGACCCACAGGTAGAAGCAAAACAGACTTTATGAAACACCACCAACACCAACAGAGCTACACTCCATCAAATGAACATCCAGTCATCACAATCAGAGAGCAGTCCTTGGGAGAAGCCACAGAAAGAGCAGGAGGAACCCACAGGAGCTCCCCTTCCTCAGCAAACCTCCCTTTATGATGACCATGACATTATGGTACAGACTACGCCTGTAGCTAGCTCAGGTCAGCTGCCCTGGCTGGCTTGAGCCTGCCTAGCACTGCTGGCCTACGATTCTACCCCAGCCAAACCAGGACAAATACTGGTATTTTCCCCAGTCCTTCTAACAGAATGATCACTACTACTAATTTCAGAAATAGTACAAAATACATTGCTGATGGAGGATCCAAAGCCTGTCATAACAGCAAATATGCTACGGGGAACTGGCTCCTAGGGTTATGTAAACGCACTATTACAATATTTGCAGACAGACAGAAAAAACCCAACACCCTGTGTAAGAGGATTATCCACAACCTGAAAGCGTTATTAGTAGCTTCAGTAACTAGAAACTAACAAAAAGCTTGATATCTTTAGAGGCAGAAGGCAGCTTTTAATGGAAGCATTTATCTCAACTGGCTGTTCCTTGTACCAAATGCAAATTTTTCATTTAATAGCCTAAACAGTGATAGATTCCTAAGCAATGACAGAATGTCCTGTCTGTTAACAAGGACGCTGCTCTTTATTCCGCTGCCTATCCAAAAGCAGCACTATCAGATATTAGGAGAACGGATCCATTATTTTGATAAAGTCTAGAATTAGAAGTACAGATTACAGCAGACCATTCAATAACTGCATCTATTCTAGTTACCTGAACTAGTGGCAACAAGGCATGAGCTATCAGAATCACCTGGGTGCATACCAGTGATAAAAGCTGACATAGATGTCCATGGCAATGGAACAAACCAATGAAACACGCTTTGGAAACAAACTTAGAAATCCAAGTTTTTAGAATAAAGTTTATTCATTACTCCACGTGGCTGCAAACAGCCATTAAAAATATTCCTGTTCTGTGATAAATATACTAACTACAAAGCAAGACTGTACTGGGACACTTCTGGACAGCACTTGAGATTGTAGCTCTGGGAGTCTCAAAGACACTGGAAACAAGTTGCTTCAGGATATGCTCCATAAAACGCAAACCAAGTTGCTTTTTCACAAAGAAATAACAATTCTTTATTCTTGTTATATAAAACCATGGCTGCAGTATTATCTTTAGGAGTATGGATAGACAGCTCTTAAGGCACAGGTAAGAGCATCAATCCTGCCTTGCAAAATTGAGTTACACCATATTTGTCAAAATAAATCTTCTCAAAAGCTTGTGGCCCTGTACTGCACAGCTGCAAGGTCCTAAAGCAACATTAACCACCTTGCCTGGAAAAGGTAGAAAGCAAGCGTTTTTGGCTTATTTAAATGCATTCCTACCATACCACCAACAAAAAAACCACAACAAGATACAAGTTTTAGCCATTCCTGTAAGAATAACAGGACAGCATGGCATTTGGCAAGAAAAATTTCAATACTCTATAGAAATAATTTTTTATCTATAGACAGATTTTTAGTTATTAGATTATATCTATAAATATGTAACAATAGGTAAGATCTCCATCTTGCAATCTAAACTAGCTTAAATACTGTTCCTGAAAGCAGGTGCTAAAAATGTACTTTACTGAACTCAGCTGAACAGAATGACAGAACTCTGTAGATTTTCATCTGTCTACATCAAAATTACCCAAATGTCACCTCCCCCCACCCCTCCAGAAAAAAAAAACAACAACAAACTCGATTTTACATTGTCTAAGTTGAGGATCAGTAAAAATGCAGCAGGTGATATTGTTCTAATCTAAACAAGCTTCTACAAAGCAAATCTTATAGATGCCTGTAGTAAACTATGGGTATGCATTTATACTAAGATACTAATAGAAATCTGACCTAAAGGAAGAGATACTACAACAACAAACCTTCACTCCTAGATCTACTTATGTTTAAAGAAAAAACACATTTTTATCTCCAAATTTCAGAAGAGGACCTCGACCAATACGTAAGCTGCAGCTTCTTTCTATGCCATTAATCAGATCAAGTTCTACTGGTAGTAGTAGTATACCATTCAGACTGAATTAACAGCAACTGTAAAGCTGTACATGTTACAGGAAGAAGCTCTACAGGCCAGTCAGTCTCACTTCTGTGCCCGGCCAAGAGGATGGAGCAGATCCTCCTGGAAACTATGCTAGAGCACGTGAAAAATAAGGAGGTGATTGGTGACAGCCAACATGACTTCACAATGGGCAAATTGTGCCTGACAAATTTGGTGGCCTTCTACAATGGGGTTACAGCCTTGGTGGATAAGGGAAAAGTGACCAATTTCATCTACCTCTAGTTGTGTAAGGCGCTCAACGCTGTCCCGCACAACATCCTTGTCTCTAAGTTGGAGCGACATGGATTTGATGGATGGACTGTGGATAAGGAATTGGCTGGATGGTCACACTCAGTCGTGGTAAACAGCTCAACATGCAAGTGGAGGTCAGTGACAAGTAGCATTCCTCAGGGACTAGTGCTATTTAACATCTTTATCAGCAACATGGACAGTGGGATTGAGCGCACCCTCAGCAAGTTTGCCGGCAACACCAAGCTGTGTGGTGCGGTCAACACACTGGAGAGAAGGGGGGCCATCCAGAGGGACCTTGACAGGCTGCAGAGGTGGGCCCAGGAACTAGGCGATCTTTAAGGCCCCTTCCAACCCAAACCATTCTACATTTCTATGATATCACTGATGTGAGCAGCTGTTATTTAAGTTATTTAGGTTTCAAGGACTGCACAGGTATCCCCTTTTCCTGGGGACATCAGTTAAATAATTCAGAAAGCAATCAGAAAACCACAATAAACACACTTACTATGTGACTGATTCCAGTTTCGGCCATGTCAAATACCACTGTTAAGGGCTTTCCATGATCTCTCTTGGCATAATGTTCTAACCAAAAAGCTACCAGTTTCTTTTTCTCAAGTTGCTGTTTAGGATCTCTTGCATGATACTTCACTCTGAACCAAACTTGTGAGAAGAAACGAAAAGCACACACATTGAAACAGATACAAATTAACAGAACACATTAAGTAACTATACAGGATGCACTGAAACTTATTAACACCTCTGAGTTTGTATTCTACATTGTCACATATTTTGTGGCCATTGAACAGCCAGAAAAACTGCATAAATTTCCACACATCCTTCTTTCCTTGCTCATATTTTTATACTGAAACTTTTTGAAAACTGAAAATACAAAGCATTATACCACAGAAGAAACAGAGTGGAAAAATACTTTTCATGTATTTAAAGGCTAATTCTTATTTAGATTATCATTTCATAATTTCAAATTAAATCATACAGTCCTCAGATGTTATTATGTTCTGCATATATTCCAAGTATTGTTGTGGTTGTGGCAACAATACATAAATGAAAGCCTAATACATACCCTTCTGGAATAAGAAATGAGTGACTCAAGAGAAGTTTTCCCTTTAAAAGTAGTGTATTTCACAGTAAAAGACTTTATAAAAATGTCTGAAACCAGATTACTGGTTATACAATGAAGTGATAAAAGAAATATCTGGGGCAGCAACATGAAAAGCAGACTTCATTTTTCGTACCCCTACAATACCAAAATTAGACAAGACATGAAAACAATTGCAGCTATACTTTAATATTTTTTCCCCTTGAAACTTGGAAAGTCTTACTAAAAAAAGATATTTATACTCCATGTCTTTTACTTCCAATTTCAAATACAAAAATATTTTATGGCTCATAAAAAAACAAACCTATTTTTAAACATGACATTAACTAGATGCTGTAAATTCAGAATTTGAAAAAGATACCCCTATTCAAACACAGGACTCTTGTGAAAGTAACCAATAATCCTTGAAGAACTTCTTTATACTTTAAAATGTTTACATAATAGAATGAGAATGGAGCACATAGCCCAAGAAATACGTTTCTCAAATATTAACTAGCCAGGAGCTCTTAACTAGAACACAATCTAAACAGGCATACCAAGTCAGATATTCTGACAATTAACATTCACAGAAGAAACATTTTAGGTATGGAAAATTGAGGCATTAGTTACGTTTTGGCAACAATAAAATCAGAAATCATTTACCTGACTTACGCCTTGTCATGAAACAACTGCATAATTTTCTCAGTCCCAAGTAATGATGCAATAAATCCATGTTTTTTTCTACTTCTCCCTGCCCCTCAATCTCACCACCCAGTACAATCACGCTCAGCTGTCTATATGCTATAGAAGCTATCACCACCGCTTATCCTTGAATACTTACCTTGGAGGCTAAAAGAAACTCATGAAGCCTAACAAAGCAGCAATTCTTCATACAACACTGATATCTTACAAGTTCAAGAAAAGGGACAGCTCAACAAAACACAGCCACAGAATAAAAGCTGCATTTTTCTGGTCATGGTTTTTGGGTGGGTTTTTTTTTTTTTGAAAGCTAGTATATTGATGCTTAAAACAGCCATTTCTGTAAAAGATTGGATGGTTAGTGGTATCTCTGAAAGTACAAACTAGCCCTTGTAAACCAAGGAAAATAGAGTTTCAGATTTAAATTTTCGGGGTTGTTTTTTTTTTCCAAGGTTCAAGATTACTGCTTAGAAAGCTTTATGAGTCACAAGTGATTTGTTTAAAAAGCCTCTTCTGCCTCATGGGATTTCAGCTTGATTAAAAGTAAATACGTGAGAAGTTACAACAGATTAATTTATAGAAAATACTGGACCATCTATTATACACAAAAAACCTCAGGAGTATTTCAGGCAATATTTACTGGTTCCCTACAAATCTTTAATTACTAGAAGTTAATCACACAACTTGAGAGTTCATTCTCCAACAATTCTCAGCTATCCACTGTTGCTGAACACTTCAATGACATCAGAAAAAAAAATAAACAAAACAAGAAAACCATTGCAGAGCTCCTGTGAACCACTGCAAGTATGCAAGAATGTGGGCTGCTAGAAAAGCAATGACAATGCACTGTAATAATACTAGTCATATTCACCACAGTAGATACAGAAACAATGCACTTCAACAGGGAAGTTAAAAACTGCGTTATAATTAGGATAAAGGTTTGTTTTTGAAAACTGCTGATAATTTCCTTATTCCACTTCTGTGATCCAAAGAGATAAAAGTTACAAACTTATTTTTAGTAAAAACAGTTACCAATATATACCTACATCTATGTTTAAAATGTTTCTTTTTCAAAATAGATGCTAAAATGCTAGAAACAAAGAATAATAATCAATGACTGAAAATATTATATTCTGTGTAACTTACATAATTTATAGCCCTCTTTATCATATCCATGCAGAAAGAGTGCACCGGTTTCAAATAACCATTTTGGAAGGACAGATTCTGTCAAGTCTGCAAAGCCAAATAAAAGATTATTTCAATAATCATAGTAATCGCATTGTAGCTTAACAGAAGTCACTAAAAATGAAGAATTCTAGAACAAAATATAAAAATGTCTCTGTAAACAATTTTCCAAGGCCTTCACTAAACTGATGCAAATGTTAAGCTTATTTGAAATATTTACTGTCTTCTTCCTCTCATATTGTAGAGTAGGATCTATTTAGGAAGAAATAATAAAAATGTATGTAAAACAATGCTGCAAATGTTTGTTTTCACTCATATCTGAAGCCTCTCTTGCTCTATCCTTTAATTGAGATTGTGAAGTCCTTTAGATAGGGCTCACCTTCAAAACATTCTCACAGCACAAAGAACAGGTCTATTCTACTTAAGGTGTCAGACCAGTGCTACTATGATGAACAACAGAACCTTGTTTTTTCATTGTTGCTTGCTATGGTTTTTTTTTTGGACTCAATTCTAGCAAATGCACAAAGACAAAACAAGAGATAGCTGCCTGCCTTTCTCTTAAACAATCTTTCAAATATACATATGGAACCACAACAAAACAGTGAGACAGCACTGGTCAACATAAAAAGCAAAAGGTCTAATTTTTTTTTTCTTTTTTAACTGAATAGAAGAGTTCTTGCTCAGGCTCTCTGTGGTACTTACAAAACCTTTAAAAGGTGCTTAGTGAAACTACATGTAAGTCAGTTGCTATTCAACAGGAAAGCAACAGACACCATCAAAATCATTACAGAACATAGCTTACCATTAACTGTATATTCTTTCCTCCACTGAAAGCTTTCATCAATCATCTTTAATGTATCATCCACAACATCGTGACGCCAAATCAGGTAATTTTCAACCCATCTATCATCTTGCTGAAGTCTTTCCACATCTCTAGAATCATATTTATCTGATTTATCTAGCAAATAAACCAATTATTGTAAGAATATAACATTTGCTATGAAAACACAAAAATCAAGTTTCAATATAAGCATCTACTAGGTACGTGAGATTTCTTTTACGTTTTCAAACTTAAGCAGATAAAGCATAGCATGAGAAATTGATTAAAAGCACCTATCTACTGTGACAACACTTAGGAACACTACAAGATAACTCTCATCAGAAAAATACCTTCTGTGATTCGTATTCAAAGAAAAACATTAGACAACAAGGTGCATGTAGGGCAGGTGTAAAAACAGGTTTCTAATTAATATAAATTAGTATATAGCCTAAGAATCTATACTGATGAATGTATATATTAAGCACCACTAGTTCAAGTTCAAGCTTAACAGGCATCAGCATGTCAAGCCATGAAATGTCAGAGACAGATGTTAAAATGACTATTTTTGATCACACACTATACATCATTGCATTAAACAGAACTGTTTTCTTTTAAAAGATTACACATTCTACACTTGTTATAAATTGTTACTTTACTGAACATAAGCTACATGCAACTCTAGAGCAGTACAAAGCCCCCAAGCCTCAAACTCTTCTTGCATCGGGTGAGCAACAGGCTAACAGGTTAACATGCTCTATGAAGTATTTCAGATGCAAACAGGAGTGCCTCTGCTCCTTATTTTTTAAGCAGGAAAGTTTGTAAAATACAAATGCTTAAGTGGACCAATTTTTATTGTAGATATGCTTAAACAAAGGCTCAGTTTTTATATCAATGCTCCTCTTTGCCTGAGAAATCTGCGTAACTGGAATGTAAATCAAGTAACAGCCCATGATAGACACATGCATCTGAAAGCAGTGGACACTGCTACACATCTCTCTACTAACTACCAAAAAACATAAGCTCTTAAACTATTCACTTAACTTTTTTCATACTAACCACAAATTAAGACTGGTTGTTAATAAAATAGATGTGTAAGTTTTTACATACTGAAAAGACTATTCCTCTGTCAGCAGCAATAACCTCAACCAATTTCAGGGTGATCACCATTAAAATATCTATTTACAACTGTGACTGGATGGTTTAGGGATGCGTATTTCAATCAGATATCTCAACTCTGAGGAAGATGTTAAGAAAAAGACACCATTAAATTCTGCTAATATTTTTTAGTTTTACTGGCCTACATGCAATGATATGACCTACTTTACTTGTCTTTCCATTTATACTGTTTCCTGTCACAAAATAGTCAATACAGCTGTAGAAATACACCCATTTAAAATGCGTTTACCCACCAAGAGTTATTAGTTGTACTCCCCCAATTCATCTCTTCACATCCAACTGCTACTCAGCTAATCTACTCAGTTCATTCTTCATCAGGTTTCAAGTTTCTCCCCCCCCGATCCCATCCCACTACCTTATCTTATTCCTTAGCCAAGCTTACAGTCAAATCCCACTTTCCTTAGTCCCCTACTTATTCCTCTCTGCCTTAAAGACTCCAATACACTAAAAACTCTCTCACTTTCAGTTCCTTTCCTCATCATTTCCATACTCACTCCAGATAGCTTATTCCCTATATCATAACTAAGCCCAGTAAAGCAAACACTCAGCACAAGACTGAAATGCTGTTTAACTTCCCTGTGGCTCTAGGTCAACCACAGATGGAACAAGTTGCAAAGATTTGGGGTATTAAATTTTGTAAAGTCTCAAGTGCTCATTTAAAAGTTGATTATTTCCCCAATGATTTATGATTTAGATAGTTTGGCCCAAGAAACACTAACAGTACCTAGTTTTGAGTTAGAATCATAAAAAATAATATTGGAGAGTATTTCTGCAGGTCCTCTCAGTCCTAACTCCTGCTCACACAAACACTAACCTCCAAGTTCAAACAGTTTGCCAAGTACCTTTTTCAGTCAAGTTTTGAAAACTCAAAAGTGTAGAAATATTCTACAGCCTCTCTGTGTAACACAGATTCCAACGCAAACCTCCTTCAGAGATACTGTCACATACAGTAACTGTGGCATATCCACAGGCAGCTAAAGTAAGAGAACCACTGGTTTCTCTTAGCCCTGGTATACTAGCTGTTCTATGCTATGGGTTATTCAATATGGTATAATGGCTATTCAAGCCATATATAGTTACTCAGCCACAGGAGACTAGGGCTTTGCAAGAGCAAAGATTTACTTTAACATCAGTATTACATGTCTCCAGTGCCTGAGCCATCTTACTTCAACTTGGTTTTAACAATCTCTAACACACACCAGCTTCTAGCTAAGAGTGACCGCAGTTAATCAATCAGCCAAATATTTTTCTGAGATCCACGCCATGTATATTCGATTTGTATAAGGGGTTTGGGTACTGAGTAATTAAGAGAAAAACACACCACCAGGTAAAAACAAAGAGGATAATGTTTCACACTGCTTTCTAAGGCCATCTTGGCTCTCAGTATCTATTCGACAGCAGAAGCGTCAGAGTGACAGAATAGCACAACTTGTATCAAACAATATTTTAAAACCATTCACATATCATTAGTGGTAAATGCCTCATGACATGTTTCTGGGCCACTAAAGTTTTCTCAAACTCTGAACTTACATAATAAACAGAAATTTAACTTTGTGACTATTTTAAGAAAATGAAAGTGAAAGAAATGGAGAAAACATTTTAGCCAAACTTTCAACATCCATGAAAAGCAAGCTGGATTCAGAGATAGGGAAA